TGGATGGATGGATGGATGGATGGATGGAATGGCAGATGGATGGATGCATGGATGGATGGATGGAATGGCAGATGGATGGATGGATGGATGGATGGATGATGGATGGATGGATGGATGGAATGACGGATGGATGGATGGATGGATGGATGGATGGAATGGCAGATGGATGGATGCATGGATGGATGGATGGATGGATGGATGGATGGATGGATGGAATGGCAGATGGATGGATGGATGGATAGATAGATGGATGATCAGGGCCTCATGGCTGAGCAACCCAACAGTTACCCCATCTGCAAGATCTTCAGCATTTCATACCTCAGATTCTCCAGGCTCTGTGTGTTGGTCTCAGGTCATCCTGACAGCTGTATCTCTCTCCCTCTCTGCTTGGTGCAGCCTGGCCCCTTGCTATGCACCTCTCCATAGCTGTGCACCTCTCAGCACCAGCTATAAGAAGTCTGTGGACATTCACCTCCCCTGGGGTCTGCAATGTGGCTGTGCTGGAACCTCAGACTCACTCTCTCTACCATCCCTGCCCTGCCTCATACCCAGGACCACTTCCCCCTCCTCGGTTCAGGGCCACTTCTATCTACTCATTCATTCAACACATTTTTTAAAAATTTTATTTATTTTGTTGTTGAAAATATACACAGCAAAACATACACCAATTTAACAGTTTCTACATGTAGAATTCAATGACATTGATTACATTCTTCAAGCTGAGCAACCATTCTCACCTTCCTTTTCTGAATTGTTTCTCCTCCATTAACATAAACTGACTGCCCCCTAAGGTTCCTATCTAATCTTTCGAGTTACTGTTGTCAGTTTGATCCCATATAGATAGTTCTTAAAGGAGCGTAAAGCTGAAGGCAGACATTTCTTACTAATTAAGCTAAACTATTGTTTGGTTTTAAGAAGACTACAGGGGATATTTTTGGTTTAAGGTTTAAAGATTATCTCAGGGCAATAGTTGTAGAGGTTCATCCAGCCTCCAAGGCTCCAGAAAGTCTGGAATCCATGAGAATTTTAAATTCTGTTCTGCATTTTCCCCCTTTTGATCAAAGATTCTTCTATAGAATCTTTGATCAAAATGTTCGGTAGTTGTAGCTGGGCATTCAATAAATATTTATGGAGTGCCTGATAGATGTCAGGCATAGTTCTAGGTATTGAGGATACAACTGCAAAATAAAAAGACAAAAATTTCTGTCTTCATGGAGCATGCATTCCAACAGGGGACTCACACAATAAACAGGATAAGTAAAATGTATAGCATGTTAATTGGTGATAGATGCTAAGGAGAAAAAGTAATGCAGGGAAAGGGCATAAGAAGCGTTGGCGGTTGTGATTCTAGATATTGGGTGGCCAGGAAAGGCCTCCTGAGAAGTGCCTTTGGAAGAGATGAACGAGTGAGCCATGGGGTGACCTGGGGGAAGAGCGTTCCAAGTAGAGGAACCAGCATGGGCAAATGTCCTGGGGCAGAGACTTGCCCGAGTGTTACGGCCAGCTAGGAGGCCAAAGTGGCCAGAGTAGAGTGAGGAGGCTAGAGGGGAGAAGAGGAGGTAGGTTACAGGGGCTGGATCACCCAGCCACCGGAGGGAACTTTGCACCTATGTAGACTTACAGGGTCCCACTGGGCCAAGGGGGTGGAGAAGGGCAGTGAGGGGTGGTTTCTGGAGATGTTTTGAAGCAGGTGGACAGGATTTGCAGATGGACATGGATGTGGGAGACAGAGAGGCACCAAGGGGGGACTCTGAGAACTTGGCATGGGCAAGGAATGGGCAGGAATCAGGGTCAGGGAGGCTGGGGGATGGAAGGCGAAGGTTCCGATTTGGATGCGATGCCTGTCAGGCTTGCAGGTGGGGAAGGCATGGCGTTAGGAGTACGGATGTCAGACTCTAGAGTTCAAGTGTGTCTAGGGCTGGCTCCCATCCACCCCTCCATGGACACTGCTCCCGCCAGGGTCCCTGAGGGCCTCCCAGGGCTGGGCCCCGTGGACACGTCTTAGGCCACCCTGGTCTCTGCAGTGTTGAGTCAGGACCTCCCCTTCATGGAGTCCAGGACACTCCCTTGGCCTCTCCTCCCCCTCAGCCACTCTCCCTCGTCTGATGCCCAGTCACTCCTCCTGGGCCCGTCCCTCTTGTCAGCTGCCTTCCCTTCTCACTCTTTGCCCAGCCTCCCCCATCCCCTGCTAAGCCCTAGACTCCTGTATCCACTGCCAGCCGGATGGTCTTGCCTTCCCCTCCCCTACCTGGATGACCCACTGACACCCAGTGGATTCAGGTCTGAGCTCAGCAGCTCCCACAACAGACCTGCTTTTGCTACGGCTCAGGCCCCATGTCCATCTCCTCCCTGTCTGAACCCGGGGTTGCCCTGGGCACCACCTCCCCTTCGCCCACACTGGCTGGCCACCAGCCCTGGCATCCTAGACACCCCTGCCATCTGCAGCGGTCTGACCCTGGGTTCTTCCTCCCGCCACCCCGCAGATCCCACAGAGCACCTATCAGCTGCCCAAGGAGCAGCAGCTGCTGGAGATGACCAAGAGGTATAACCGCTGGAAGGCTGAGGTGAGCGCGTGCGGCCCTGCCCTCTGAGACCACCGTCTGTTGATGTACAAGGGCAGGAGCACCCTCCCCAGCTGATTGTCCCCAGAGTGGAATGAGGCCATGGGACAGGTCACCCAATGCAGCTGGACTGTCCAGCCCTCCCAGGGACAGTCTCAGCATGTTGACACCTCCCGACCCGCAAACCCCCACAGCATCAAAGAGCAGGGGGACTCTTTGCTGAAGGCTTCGTGGGATGACGGAGAATGGGGGTGAGGCAGGGAGGAGGAGGATAGGGAGGGAAGAGGGAGGAGGGAGAGGAAGGGGAGGAGGGGGACAAGGTGGGGAAGATGAGGTGGGAGAAGGAGGTGGGAGGGGGAGAAGCAAGAAGAGGAGGAGGAGAGGAGGAGGAGAGGGAGAAGACGAGGGGAGGAGGGGTCGGAAGGGGGAGGAGGAAGTGATGAGGAGGGGGAGGGGAGGAGGGGGCAAAGCAGGAGACTGGGAGGAGGGAGAGGAGGATAAGCACAAGGAGCAGGAGGAGGGGGAGGAGGAGGAGGTGCTGGCTGGCACCTTCATCCCCGGCGGGGAGGCCCAGCCACGTGTTGCTGCAGGAGCTGCTGCTGAAGGCAAACCTGGAGGAGCTGCGCTGCGCCATGCCCAGGTCCCGCGGGGAGCCCCCGAAGCAGGTAAGGCCCGGCCCTCCGCGCCAGCCTCCACGCAGGAGCGTGTCCTCATGGCGTACAAAAGCTCTTCCAGAAGCCAGAAGGCCCTTATTTAGCATTTCTCCATCCTGGGCCATGGAAGGGCCAGTGTCCGTGCTGGTGGGAAAGCACCCCCCACGGCCACACGTGTTCCTGCTGGGCAGGGTAGACACAGGCAGGTGTAGACAGGGCAGGTGTAGACAAGGGCAGTTGTAGATGATGTGGGCAGGTAGAGATGCAGTAGGTGTAGACGAGGGCAGTTGTAGATGATGTGGGCAGGTAGAGATGCAGCAGGTGTAGATGGGGCAGGTGTAGAGGCAGGCCGGTGTAGATGTAGATGCAGGCAGGCGTAGATGGGGGCAGGCATAGACTGGGTCAGGCATAAACATGGGCAGGTGTAGACGGGCAGGTATAGATGTAGACACAGGGCCAGGTGTAGACAGGGCAGGCGTAGAGGTGGCAGGTGTACATGGGGACAGGTGTAGATGATGTGGGCAGGTGTAGATGCAGCAGGTGTAGACGGGGCAGGTGTAGAGGCCGGCAGGTGTAGATGTAGATGCAGGCAGGTGTAGACGGGGCAGGTGTAGGTGTAGACACAGGCAGCTGTAGCCTCAGGCAGATGTAGGGGCTCATCAGAAACAAAGGGGAGGAAACTCACCGGGGAAGGCCGCATCAGGCGCTGCTGTCTCTGGGTGTCTCTGAATTTCCCACACTGAACACTTAGTACTTCTCTGAGACTCCCCATCCAAGTAAGTTTGTGAAAAAACACAACGCAAAGGGAGCAGGACGAGGAAGGACTGGTTGCCTGTGCCCCCCCCCCCCTCACCAAGGAGCCCACCTGAGTGCCCTGAACAGGCAGAAGTGGGCTCCCCTCTGGAGCAGCTGGGGCGGGCCTGGGCAGTGGGCCCCCGCCAGCAGCAGGCCCGGGGGGTGTGATGGTGGAGTTCCCGTGGGGGCGGCCCTTTACCAGCTGTCCCCCACGGGAATCGTGGTGTCCCCTGGGGCGTGTCCACACAGCACTGGCGGGCAGACCTGGGAGCAGCCCAGGACCGGTCCAGGGGCTGGCCAGACCCCAGCCCTCAGGGCCGAGCGGTACTGACCAGAACCTTGTCCTGGGTCCAGCAGACCCTTCACCTTCCCTCTTCCCCGCTTGGGCAGGCCAGCGCCTCTGCAAGGCAGGGAGGTGCTGGAGGACAGAGGTGCTGCCCTGCGGGGACCATATGCAGCCGGGCGGGAGGGGAACAGTGGAGGGCGCTGGAGTCAGGACGCTGGGGCCCCCCCTTACCCAGGGACATTTTCTGCTGGGATTTGGGGGCACCTGGTGGGCACAGGGGCCAGGCTGCTCCCTCTGCTCTGGTCCTGCAGGGCTCCAAGAAGAAGCTGAGGTTCCAAGTCCCACCCCGGATCCGCAGGACACCGAAACTGACCTTCTACAGGGTAAGGGACGCACAGACCATCGGGGCAGGCACGGAAGAGGAGGGAGGGTGTGAACCTGGCACCCAGACGCTGTGCCTGTTCTGCTCTGGGGGTTAGGATGGCCAGTGCTGGGGGACCCGAGTCCCCCAGGACAGGCCTCCCCCTTGCAGGGGGCAGGTGTGGAGGGCAGGAGGGCAGGAACCCTGCAGCCAGCCCCTGCACTCTCCTGCAGCCCGACAACGTCCCAGTCAAGCTGAATGCGGCTGCCATCCTTCGAGAAGGGGCCTTGTACCAGCGGCAGGTGGAGAAAGAGCTGCAGAGGTGGGCAGTGGCCACGTGAGGCCAGGACGCTCCCCAGGGGCCGATGCCCACGGGGCCCCTCCCAGCCCCCAGGCCTTGGGCAGCAGCTCAGAACCCACAATGTGGTGGGGGGGCACAGAGGGTGGTGGGATCAGGGGTGGGGCTGGCTTTTCCGGGAGCGAAGGGGGTTGACAGGCAGAGAGAGGGGGCAGAGTGCAAGCAGGGTGCTGAGGCTGCAATGCTGCAGGGGTGGGGGTGCTAAGCCAGACAGCGACAGAGTCATGTCTGCCTTTTATGGAGATTGTCCCAGCTCAGTGAAGGTGACGAACTGGGGTAGGAGACGTAGCAAATACCCAGCCCACCCAAACCTTCCTCAGGGGCCACCTCCTCCTCAAACCCCTTTCTGCTGCCTTCTTCTCAGAGGACAAACCTCTGTGCTCACCCAGGCTGCTTTCCACATCTGTGCATCGGGCTCTGGGTGGGAGCTGAGGTGGCTAGCCAGAGGGATGGACAGAGGGGTGGGCGGAGGGATGGCAGTGGACAGATGGATGGATGGAGGGATAGTAGATGGACAGATGGATGGATGGAGGGATGGTGGATGGACAGGGGTAGATGGAGAGATGGCAGTGGACAGATGGAGGGATGGAGGGATGGTGGATGGGCAGGGGGTGGACAGAGGGATGGTGGATGGACAGAGGGGTGGACAGAGGGATGGTGGATGACAGAGGGGTGGATGGAGGGATGGCAGTGGATGGCTGGATGGAGGGATGATGGCTGACGGGTGGATGGAGGGATGATGGCTGATGGGTGGATGGAGGGATGGCAGGTGGACAGGTGGATGGATGGAGGGATGGTGGATGACAGAGGGGTGGATGGAGGGATGGCAGGGTGGCAGGTAAGCAGATGGGTGGACAGAGAGATGGTAGATGGGCAGATTTGTGGACAGAGGAGTAGACAGAGGGATGGCGGCTGGACATATGGGTGGACAGAGGATGGTGGATGGGCAGATGGGTGAACAGAGAGATGGTGAATGGACAGACAGGTGGAGAGAGGGATGTAAGATGGACAGACAGGTGGAAACAGGGATGGTGGGTGGGCAGACAGGTGGACAGAGATAATGAATGGACAGAGAGATGGTGAATGGGCAAATTGGTGGATAGAGGGGTAGACAGAGTGATGGCAGGTGAACAGGTGGGTAGACAGAGGAACATGTTTGGACAGAGGGATGGTGGGGGAGCAGACAGGTGGACAGAGATAGTGTATGGACAGAGAGATGGTGAATGGACAGACAATGGGCAGAAGAATGGCAGGTGGCAGATGGGTGGACAGAAGGATGGTGGATGGGAAGATGGGTGGTCAAAGGGGGATGAGTAGATGAACGAAGGGGTGGACAGAGGTGACTGATGTGTGGATGGTGGGTGGGTGGGTAGGCGTAGGGGTGGGTAAGGAGGAGGGCAGCCCACACCTGTGAGGGCCCGGCAGGGCTCCCTGGGCAGCGCAGGCCCTGACCACAGGAGGAACCCCAAGCCATGCTTCTGGGCCATCCTCCCCAGGGTTGACAAGCTTGTGGATGGGGCTGGGGACTTCTCCGAGTTCCTGGAGTGGCAGAAGAAGATGCAGGCGAAGGACCGGGAGGAGCAGCTGGCTGTGGAGGAGTGCCGGCGGCTACAGGGGAAGCTCAGCCACGAGGAGGCCATCCTGGCCCGGCAGAACCTGGTGCAGGAGAATAAACAGAAGGCAGAGCAGAAGAAGGAGGAGGTGAGGGGGCTGAGCTCCGGGCCAGCAGGGCATGGGGGCCAGGCCGCTGAGCTGTCTGACTGCCCTGAGCCGTGGCCCACAGAGAAGCCAAGTGCACAAGCTGTGGCTACTGTGGTCACTGGCTTACAGGCCGCCCCCGGGTCATTTCCTCCTAAGACCCAGAGAGTGGCAGTGGTTTCCCTGTCCCCTTGAGTCAGCTGGGCTGAGTGCACTTCTGGCCCAGCCCGCAGAGTCAGTTGGTCCATACACACCTTGGATGTCCCTCAGGGAAGACCGGCGCTTCTGGCAGAAACTTCCAGAAGGCTGACATGTTTAGGTATGGTATCTTCTCCTACAGAAAGGTTTGTGGATATCAACTTTACTACTTTAGAAGTGCCTGATGTATCAGTCCTGGCTTCTCCTCCTCTGAAGACTGGCTGCCAAGGTGGGGGGTTCCCAACCTGTGGCCCCAAAAGCTCATTCCTTCCAGCAAGCCTCACAGTGACCAGGCTAAGGAGAGGGCATGCTGGGCAGGACGTGCGGCTCTGTCTGTCCTGAGAATGGGTCCCTCTGAGTGCAAGCAGTCAGGGACGCGATCACGGGGCACACGAATGACTTCCTTTGATACACTCATTTGTGTCTGTTTGTATTCAGTTTTAGAGTTTGGTTTTCCTTTCCTTTCTGTTGTTGTTAGTTGATACCGAGTCAGCCCTGACTCATGGCTACCCTATGCGCAACAGAATGAAACACTGCCCAGCCCCACACCATCCTCACCGTCATTGCTACGTTTCAGCCCATTGTTGCAGCCACTGTGTCAATCCATCTCATTGAGGATCTTCCTCTTTTTCACTGACCTTCTACTTTACCAAGCATGATGTCCTTCTCCAGGGACTGATCCCTCCTGATAACATGTCCAAAGCATGTGAGATGTAGTCTCGCCATCCTTGTTTTCAAGGAGCATTCTAGCAGTACTTCTTCCAAGACAGACTTGTTCATTCTTCTGGCAGTCCATGGGATATTCAATATTCTTCGCCAACACCATAATTCACAGGCATGAATTCTTCAGTCTTCCTTATTTGTTGCCCAGTTTTCGCACGCATATGAGGCAACTGAAAATACTATGGCTGGCTTGGGTCAGGCGCACCTTAGTCCTTAAAGTGACGTCTTTGCTTTTGAACACTTTAAAGAGGTCTTTTGCAGCAGATTTGCCCAATGCAATATGTCATTTGATTTCTTGACTGCTGCTTTCATGGACGTTGATTGTAGCTCCAAGTAAAATGAAATCCTTGACATGAAAACCTCTGTTTATCATGATGTTGCTTATAGGCCCAGTTGTGAGGATTTTTGTTTTCTTTACGTTGAGGTGTAATCCATACTGAAGGCTGTGATCCTTGATCTTCATCAGTAAGTGCTTCAAGTCCTCTTCCCTTTCAGCAAGCAAGGTTGTGTCATCTGCATAATGTGGGTTGTTAATGAGTCTTCTTCCAATCCTGATGCCCCGCTCTTCTTCATATAGTCCAGCTTCTCAGATTATTTACTCACCAGCAGATCGAATAAGTATGGCGAAAGGGTACAACCCTGACGAATACCTTCCTGATTTTAAACCATGCAGTGTCCCCTTGTTCTGTTCAAACGGCTGCCTCTTAGTCTATGTACAGTTTCCTCAGTTAAGTGTTCTGGAATTCCCATTCTTCACAATGTTATCCATAATTTATTATGATCCTCACAGTCAAATGCCTTTGTATAGTCAATAAAACACAGGTAAACGTCTTTCTGGTATTCTCTGCTTTCAACCAACATCCATTTGACATCAGCAATGACATCCCTCGTACCAACAGGCTTTTACTATTAGGTACCTTAAAACTCTTCCAGCTTCTACCTGTTAGGCAATTCCAAAACCACTCCCATATTTTAGGTATCTACTAGAGCAGCACCCCACTCTTCTGGTACCAAATTCTGTCTTAGTTATCCAGTGCTGCTATAACAGAAATACCACAAGTGGATGGCTTTAACAAATTTATTTTCTCACAGCTTAGGATGCTATAAGTCTGAATTCAGGGTGCCGGCTCTAGGGGAAGGTCCTTGTCTCTTCTGAGCTTCTGCTCCTGGGCAGTCTTCATGTGCTTGGCATCTCTCTTCACCATCTCTCCTTGCTAGCTTTCATTTAATCTCTTTTATATCTCAGAAGAGATTGACTCAAAATACACCCTACACTAATCCTGCGTTATTAACATAACAAAGACAATCCATTCCCAAATGGGATTATAACCACAGGTAGTAAAAAAAAAAAACCCATTGCCATTGAGTTTATTTCAACTCACATCGCCCCTATAGGACAGGGTAGAACTGCCCCAGAGGAGCAGCTGGTGAATTCGAACTGCTGACCTTTTGGTTAGCAGCTGTGCTCTTAACCACTGCATCTCCAGGGCTCTGATTTACAACACATATTTCTGGGGGACACAATTCAATCCATAATAGATAGAGAGCCTCATGTGAAGGTCTAGGGGGCAGCCAGTTCCCAGTGCTGTGTTTGGGCCTTCCAGACTACTGTTAAAATTAGGCCACATGAGGGTGGCGTCCCAAACCCAAGAATTTCATCCTTCCAAGTCTGGCTGGCCTGGCTAGGTCGGTCTTTACATGCCCAGAAGCTCCTCTACACATCTGTGATGACCAATATTTCCCCTTAATAAATTAGCCAGATTGTTGTTACGTGCCACCTAGTCAGTTCCGACTCATAGCGACCGTATGTACAACAGAACGAAACACTGCCCGGTCCTGCGCCATTGTTGCAGCCACTGTGTCCATCCAGATTAGGTGGCACTAAATATTTGAAGAGAAAAGGAATTTTAATTTTTCTTGTGCCTTCATTTTGGACTCATTGCTTTTATAGCCTAGTGCTGCCATGACAAAATACCACCAAGTGGACAACCTTAAAGAACAGAAGTTCATTCTCTCACAATTCTGGAGGTTAGAAGTCCACATTCAGGGAGCTAGCAGGGCCATGCCCTGTCTGTCCACTCTAGGGGTAGATCCTTCCTTGTTTCTTTCAGCTTCTGGGGGCCCCAGGTGATTTTTAGAGTTCCTTAGCTTGTAGATGCCTGGTCATATGGCACCCCTTCCCCGTGTGGACTGTCTCTCCGGGTCTGTTCTCTCCTTTTATAAGACACCACTCAGAAAAGGTTAGCACTAGGACCCACCCTACTCTGATAATACCCTCAAAGAAAGACCTATTTCCTCAAACAAGGTCATATTCACAGGTACAGGAGTTGGGACTCAAACACACCATCTTTCTGGGGGACACAATTCAATTCATAACACAACCTTCACCTGTTTGTTTTTAGTAAGTCCTTCCGCCTGTTGTCCTCTTTTTCTTAATAGTTTAATTTTTTTTTTGTTTTTGAGAATATACACAGCAAAATACATACCCATTCCACAATTGCTACATGTACAATTCAGTGACATTAATTACATTCTTCAAGTTGTGCAACTACCATCCTTTTCCAAATTGTTCCTCCCCCATTAGAATAAACTCACTGCCCCCTAAGCTTCCTATCTGAACTTTCAAGGTGCTATTGTCAGTTTGATCCCATATAGATAGTTCTTTAGAAGACCACAATGCTCAAGGCAGGCATTCTTTTTATTATTATTATTATTATTATTTTATTGTGCTTTAAGTGAAAGTTTACAATTCAAGTTAGTCTGTCATGCAGAAATTTATACATACATTGTTATGTGACCCTAGTTTCTCTCCCTGTACTGTGATAGCACACTCCTCCTTTCCACCCCAGATTTCCCATGTCCATTCAACCAGCTCCTGGCCCTCTCTGCCTTCTCATCTCACCTCCAGACAGGAGCTGCCCATTTAATCTCATGTGTCTACTTGAGCTAAGAAGCACACTCTTCACAAGTATCATTTTATGTCCCATATTCCAGTCTAATCTTTGTCTGAAGAGTTGGCCTCAGGAATGGTTTTAGTTTTGGTCTAACAGAGAGTCCGGGGGCCATGTCTTCTGGGGTCCCTCCAGTCTCAGTCAAACCATTAAGTCTGGCTTTTTTACTAGAATTTGAGTTCTGCACCCCATTTTCCTCCTGCTCCATCAGGGACTCTCTGTGGTGTTCCCTGTCCCGGCCATTGGTGGTAGCCGGGTACTGTCTAGTTCTTCTTTCTGGTCTCAGGCTGATGAAGTCTCTGGTTTATGTGGTCTTTTCTGTCTCTTGGGCTAATACTTTCCTTGATGTTCTTCATTCTCCTTTGCTCCAGGTGGTTGGGACAAACTGATGCATCTTAGATGGCCGCTTGCTAGCTTTTAAGACCCCAGACGCCACTCACCAAGTGGGACGCGGAACATTTTCTTAATAAACTTTGTTATACCAATTGACCTAGATGTCCCCTGAAAGCATGGTCCCCAGACCCCCGCCCCTGCTACTCTGTCCCTTGAAGTGTTTGGTTGTATTCAGGAAACTTCTTAGCTTTGGTTTAGTCCAGTTGTGCTGACTTCCCCTATATTGTGTGTTGTCCTTCCCTTCACCTAAGATCATTCTTGTCTACTATCTAGTTAGTGAACACCCCTCTCCCTCCTTCCCCACCCTTATAACCATCAAGGAATGTTTCCTTCTGTGTTTAAACCTTTTCTTGAGTTCTTGTGATAGTGGTCTTATACAATATTTGTCCTTTTGCGACTGACTAAATTCACTCAGCATAATGCCTTCCAAATTCCTCTGTGTTATGTTTCACGAATTCATCATTGTTCTTTATCATTGCGTAGTATTCCACTGTGTGAATACACCATAATTTTGTTTATCCATTCATCCATTGATGGGCACCTAGGTTGTTTCCATCTTTTTGCTATCGTGAACCATGCTGCAATGAACATGGGTGTGCATATATCTATTCGTGTGACAGCTCTTATTTCTCTAGGATATATTCCAAGGAGCGGGATTGCTGGATCATATGGTACTTCTATTTCTAGCTTTTTAAGAAGTGCCAAATCGATTTCCAAGGTGTTTGTACCGTATTACAT